TGAGGCGGAAGGATCGCCGAACCCCAGCAGGTCGAGGCTGCGGTGGCCGGGAGCGGCCGCTGCACTCCAGTCTGGGCGACAGAGTGAGACTCCAACTCTAACAATTTATTTTTTTTTAAGTCCTTTCCAACCTCAGGCCTGCGGGATTTTTCTCCCAGTCCCACTTTGGCTTGGCCTAGCGGTCAGGCTCCAGCATTCTGCACCTTTGCTTTATGGTAGCCTCCCATAAGGAGTGGTCCCTGGGTGGGTGTTCCAGATGAGCAGCAGACATGGATTGCCCTCCTGTAAGCCTCCTCAGCTACCGTCTCCTCACTGAGGCTATTCCTGTATAGAGAAAAACGGAGGGTCTGCAAAGGGAGAAGCTGCTTAACTACCTAGGGTCCCCCAGATAGCTCTAGCAGACTGAAGGACTCGATTTTTCCATGCTGTATTTGTAGCTTTGCGTCCTATTCATCTTTTGAAACCTCTCAGTCAAACTCTTGAAACTGAGACATAAATCTTGTAAGGGGTTGAAGGATGAAGATTTATTATTATTATTATTATTATTATTATTATTTTTTGAGTTGGAGTCTCACTCTGTTGCCCAGACTGGAGTGCAGTGGCCGCTCCCGGCCACCGCAGCCTTGACCTGCTGGGCTCTGGCGATCCTTCCACCTCAGCCTTCCAAGTAGCCGAAATTACAGGCATGCGCTACCACGCCCGGCTGTTTTTTTTGTTTTTTTTTATTGTAGAGATGAGGTTTTGCTGCCCAGGCGGGTCTCGAACCCGCGGGCTTGGGCAATCCACTCACCTCAGCCTCCCAAAGGCGCGAGATTACAGGCTGAGCCACTGAGCCCGGCTAGGATGAAGATTTATAAAGCATCGTGTCCAGGCGCTGGGTACATCACTGAACAAAACAGAGAGAAATCTCAATCTTTCTGTGGGTCCTGGGATCCTGGGGACCGCAAGTGCTCATGGTGTGTGTGTGTGTGTGTGTGTGTGTGTGTGTGTGTGTGTGTGTGTGAGAGAGAGAGAGAGAGAGAGAGAGAGAGAAAGAGAAAGAGAGATTAGTGACCTGATTGGAAGTTTCACTACAGTTGTTTGGGTGAAAGCCTGTGGATTTTAGACAGAATGAGAAGGGAAGAATTGAGGACTGAATATACAATCGTCCTGCAGTATCTGGAGACTAAAATCTGCAGATACTCCGTATATACTTTAAGCCTTCTCTAGATTATTATTATTGTTTTTGAGTTGGAGTCGCACTCTGTCACACAGGCTGGAGTGCAGTGGCACACTCACAGCTACCGCAGCCTCGACCCGCATGGCTTAGGCAATCCTTCTGCCTCAGCCTTTGAAGTAGCTGGAACTACAGGTGCATGCCACCATGCCCAGCTAGTTTTTGTGATTTAGTGTAGAGACGAGGTCTCACCATGTTGCCCAGGCTGGTCTTGAACCCCTGGGCTCAGGCAATC